GTGCCAGCTTCAACGACGCAGTCCGACGGGCCAGCCGACTGGAAGAAAGGAGACATAGGGATCCACTGCGTAATTGACCTCTGAAGTACCGCGATCAATAACTGGCACTGGTACGAATGGCTAGATATTTAGCGATTCAAAGGATGATGCACCGTAATTTTACTAGTGTTTCTGGCTCACTTCATTAACACAAATAAGTAAATAAGTACAAAATGCTTATGCTTTATACAAGAGTGAGATTCAGGGGTTGTGCCATAATATACTATACTGATATTCCTAGGTCACCAGATGATCACTTGATCAACATCCCTGATGCTTGGACATGAGCGACTCCTTTCCATCAGGCGCCATGTCCCATTCACCGAGTCTGGCGCTTTCACCAGAGCTGTTTTTCGTTGACGCGACTGGATCTGGCGCTTTCAGCAGAGCAGTTTTTCGTTGACGCGACCCTCACATCAGACCTGACATGGTCCGGGGCCCGACTCATGCACCGTTGACTTGGAACGAACGTCCTCGTGGCGACGTCGCGTCCCGTCGCCGCCGAGAATTATCTGTCTCCCCTGAACAGGCATACATCAGGATTTGTTTGGAGCGGCCCGGGGCCGGCCACCGGCGCTGCTCGGTTGAAGCTGTCCTCAGTCCGGTGACCGATGGATGGCGAGAGCAGGAAACGCGTCGAGTCTTTCTCAGAACTGCCGCTGCACATTCTGAGACGATATTGAAGGACTTGTCGTGAAGTCTAGGACAAATGGCAAGAGTGTTGAGTAAAATGAAATCAGATACGATGTGCTGCAACTGAAACTACACATTTTCCACGTGACATGGGATGATTCATGTGATGAAATATGTCGCATATGCCTCCAATTTCTTTGAAACTGCCTGCAAGCAAAAGGACTGCGCTTTATAAGGTTTTATAAATAGCGTTCCAGTCCGATCGTTGAACCATCTGCGTCCTACTGCGTGGGGTCGCCGAGCCCGTGCCCTGGGCCGTTGACCCTGGGCCAAGGGCGCGATCCGTCTGGCAGTGCTGCGGGGCGTGTTCCGACGGGCGCGTGGCACTTAATGCCCTGAACAGTGCCCTGATGCAGTGGTCCGATCAATCGACGGGGGTTCGACCCTGTGTCGTCGGCAGGAGGGGATGAGAGGAAGAGAAGAGAGGGAAAGAGAGAGAGAGAGAGAGAGAGAGAGAGAGAGAGAGAGAGAGAGAGAGAAAGAGAGAGAGAGAGATAAACATTCAGAGGAAAAGAAAGGAGGAAATAAACGAATTGGTGACTGCAAATATCAAGACCATGCTGTTCGTGCATTTTATATGACACTCGCAGTTATTTTTGATCAAATTTTCATTGATCATTTAGGATTTTTGTCAAGCTTTTGCGATATTATCTTATGTTGGCACGTTTGGTCAGTTATATTTCGTTTACATTTCATTAAAATGAAAGAACTGAATTAAATATTGAATTCAAACCGGCATCGAGTCGTTTGAAGAGTCGCGACGCGCTAGATGTTCCCACTTGGAGCAGCCCTGCGCCTCAGAGCTGCTCCAAGTCCCTGTTTATGGCAATGGTTCAGCTGCCAACGACACCAGTCCGATGAAAATAGTAAATTTCCCAACATGAGTCGTTATTGGATCCGGAAAAATACGATCAACCGTCTATTTAGACGCACGCCTGTCACCAGAGCATCACTTACCATACAATTAGAGCGAGCGACGTGTTGTCAGTGACGCATGTCCTCGCAGGTTGATTGAAATGCCGATTTCTTTTACGCTGTTTTGGAATGCATCTTTTTTATTTTGAATAAGTGACCCGGTGCCTCTTTTTTTATAAATTTAGTCCGAACCTTTTGATGGGAAGGATTCACAAGGACAGAGCCACCGCTAAGCGAAGCTTGTTGCGATGACCCTGCCCTCTACCCTCCGATCGCGCAATTCCAATTCTATGGCAGAATTTAGAGTCCAAAGTTTAACGTGCGCACAAAGCCGCGCACGGCCGGTCCCCTCACTGACTTCGCCTGGCTACGGCCTGCCACCAACCGCAACCATACCTGTCAGGAGGCCCATAAATGTCGAGCGCCCCTCTGGTAAAAGTAGTTTTTTATTTATTTTGACGGCCTTGTTTAGAGGCTGGCAATTTGTTTGCTCCGATTCCGAATGCTGCAAGTTTCAGTATCCCTGAACCTATGTCTAAAGCATATGCACAGATGTCCAACGAATAACATTTTTTATTTCACATATTAGAAACAATAAAAAAGCCCCTTATTGCTAGTGTGTTTGGCATCTGGTGCCTTGTCGCAAAAAGCCGAGTGAATCTATCACGGCCGGTTGTTGTCGCTCGCACTGATCTGCTCTGGGAGGTTCCGATGGCGCCATTAGTGGTCGGGTCGGCTGTCGGTCGTGGCGCCCTCACCGAGTGGCCGCGTCTCGATAATGGCCCGGGGCCACGCGGTGCCAGCTGATCGAGGGGGACACGGCCCGCCCCCGGCCGGCCGGCCCTAATCACCGCGTCGTTATCCCCGGCCCGGCGGGGAGCAGAGCGGCACGTCGGCCGCGGCAGTTTGTGTGCGTTCACTCCGTCAGCGGCCAGAAGAATGGGATCGGGTGTCTGACAAATGCCCGGCCGAATCTCGGCAGTGGCTCCGGATGGGCCGTTCAGTATTTTACGCAGGAGAGTTGCGAGATCCGTCCGGCGCAGATAAAAGGAGATTAAGGCGGGCGGAAGGTTCTCTCGGACAGTCGTTAAAAGGCGCTACAAAGTGCGTGATTTGAAGAACTACATACATGCCTCATCATACCAAGAAAGTAACGATAACTGTTGACGATAACTTAATCATTAAGTCGAGATGTCACTACTCCCAGTTTCATTCATTCTTTCTTTGATTCATTCATGCATACAACTACGTGTAAATGTTGAGTGTAAAGTATGTACAGTTAAGCGTCAAAGATTTTTATATCACTGCCATTCTCTGAAGTTTATATCTGAAGCACTCCGAGGCCAGACTGTTCAATGTGTAAATCCTTCTTGTATTCTGTGATATTGTGGTGAATCCTTTTGCAACGAATCGCCATTATTACTTCCATCCTGGTCGTCCTTTTGCATCATGCATTCTCATAAGGTCTCATAAGGCAGCTTCATACATCTTCTAAGTCGGTCGGGGGACGGCGCCGGCGGCTGGCGTCAGAACTGGCGTCGGAGCAAGGTGAATACACCAGACGCTCCGCCGGATGACACATGGCTCCGGCCTGAATGGCCGGCCCGTAGTTAGGCCGGCGGCCGGACGCCGAGGGCCCGCCATAGGTCACCGATCTGGGCCGCCGTGGGCGGACCAGCCGCCGGCCTGTGGGTCTGCAACGGCCCCGGGAACGGCCGCCCCAGAACCGCACAGCCCATAGCCGCATTGTGACGAGCCGGAACGACCGTCACCGCGGCGGCAGTGGCACAGATCTGTCGCTCTGGGACCTCCGGCAGTGTTTTACCACCTCGCCGAGTTCCGGGTCGGGTCGCGGACGCACCGTGCGACAGACCTGATAAATCCGATTGAGGTGGGGGCTATCATGTCCACCCAGCCGGCCGCCCTGACCTCTGACCCGGCGGAGTCGGTCTGGGGCCGAGTCAGCGCCCGGGGGCGGCGGCAGGCGCTCCGTGACGGCCCGTCTCCTCACGGCCGTGCCGCCGCGATGGATGAACGACGCCGGAGAGAGGCGCCGAGCGTGTCCGACTGGCCAGAGATGACCATCGCACCGGACGGCGGACGGCCGCCGGAAACCGGCCCACTTGGCTCATATGTGATCGATCATCGCGACAGATCGCGCCCCGGCCCGGTCCGCACGGGGAGAGCTCGGGACGACCGAGCTCTGATTTGTGAATGATGGCCCCCAAATACCAGGCTGCGAGACATAAGTGGCTGCTGTGATTAATTTGATACAATGTCCTTCAATTGAGATTGATGTGACATAACAGGATAATGCGTGTATCTACTTTGCGAAATGAAATGAATTGTTTACCTTTGACTGTGTGTTACGATTAAGCATGAGGGCGAGACAAAAATACGGTTACATGCGGGCTGATGCAGATTTTTAAATATGTGAATGTCTTCATTAGGTGTAGTTCGTTATCTAAAAGGTGCTTCTCTGGTTTTATTACATGTAGTAAATTAGCCTCAACTTCAGCAAAGGCATCCTCCTATATGGGCTAGTATCGCAGGGCTAGAGAACTCTGCTCTTTTTATGGCACGTTAACATTTCACCGCTAAATTATGTTGCCGGACACATACAGTGAGACCGGGTATGTTTAGGGCCTTGCTGCAACGATATCTGGCCAAGACTTTGCAGCCATGCTTTAAAAAGCAGACTTGTAAATTTCGAGCCGCCTTCTTGACTCAGAAAACTCTACTGACAGAGAAAACTCGACTGGCGTAGCCAAGCATCCATTTTGGGTGTTTCCCCAATCATTTTCTCCTCGGACAACAAATAAACGATGGGCCTGCCTTCGTGGCTGGCACATGCCGGTCATCACAAAATCAAATGCTGCCACGTCGTCTCGGACTTTCGCCTACGTCATCGCGGGGGACTGTGGTCTTATGACGCCGGCGACGACGCCTGTGACGTCATAGGTGTCGGCCAGCGCCGACGGGGGCCCGAATCAAATCACCATCGGCGCCGACGGTCGTTCACAGTGCCGCCCCCGTCCCGATATGGATAGATGTTTCTGTGAACCGATGCGACGTGGCCGCGACAGCGACGGCACAAATGGCCGAGCGAGTCCGAGCAACGGTCATCCAATCCGTCCCCGTTCACGGCCCGTCACAATCGCCCAAAGTGGACGGCGAAAACGAGTGAAATAAAAGTGAAGGCGTGCGCGAGTCCCGTGCGTATTCGGTCGTATCGTTTGTTCAAAATTGTTCTGATTGTTCTGATTGCGGTGCCGGGAAGGGCCGTAAATTCACTTACGGAAGCGGTCACAAGATGTTATACAAGCAGAAAGTTCCTACACATAACATCGAAACCGTAACTCATTTTACTGTCAGATATTTTAATGGAACATGCTCACGATATCATCAGACTATACTTTCCAGCCATTTCAGACACTCAATCGCGATACAATGTTTATGCATATGCGCAAAGGGACCTTGCGTAAAGGCCGAGTATTGCTTTGAGTTCTGGAAATACCATTGATGAGGCCATAGTTTACAAGAATGTTTTCACATTTCACGTAAGCTGGTCATTTGGTGCACAGTTCATGACTGCTTTCTACGATATGATTGACGTTGCTCTTTGTCTCAAAAGTGAGCTTTCAACGATTTGAAAAGTGAAATTTCAACGATATCTAAACTTAGAACCAGTAAATTTGGACGATGCACTGTATGTGAATTTGATAGCCCGTTCAAATTTGACGTTAAGTGTACTCTTATGAGAGCATCTGTACAAAATACCATGGCCACGACATGGCAATCTCACACATCAACACTTTGCCCGACCGATAATGGTAAGCCCTCATCCGGCCTTCGAGCGGGGATCATTTTCATCCGCAGGTAACACCGGGACACAACAGCTGCACGGAGGGACATTTTGTAGCGCCACCCCCGACCATCATCCATTCAACCGAACACAGTTTCAAAGTCAGACAGCCACTGCGTCGTCCAGGCTCAGAAGCCGCCAATCAGGTCACTACGTCAGTTTCACAAACGACGACTGAGGACACGCCGCTCCGCGCTCCGGGCGACTAATACTGATAATCACTGCATCTCACCTCTCACATCACAGCTGCTCCACCGGCGCTCCACACCGCGAGCTAGTCTCTCGCCTATTGAGCGCACGAGTCTCCATTTCTCGAGCATACTCGCGCACAAGTCTCTGCCTCTCGAGAACGCCGCTCACGCAGCTGAGCGGGCACCACCGCACCTCTGCGAATGTCCCCTCGAGTCTGTGCCGCCCGTGTCGGTTCCAGGTCACCGGTTATCCCGCCGACAGGCCAGTATTGCCAGTGACGTCATCAGTGGTACCAGTGACGTCATCAGCAGGGCTGTCGCCAGCGGGAGGTCCGGCCTCAGCCGACCGCCGCCGGCAGTCTGCATCGCTGCCGGGTGATCGTCTAGACGGGAGGGGGGGGGGGGGCAGGGGGAGCTGTCATCGACCCGGCAACAGCGCATGCGATTACACGGTCACGGTCATACTATATAGTGCAAGCTACTCGGTATGTATACGTTCTGGCTACCGAACTACATACGAGTGAGTAGCGCATAACCCTCAGCCCTGAGCTGTTTGAGAGGTCAGAGTATCGGACAAAATGCATTTGAATGCATATTGGAAAGCTCCCTAAATGAGAAGATGGATAGCGATCAGACTTCCCCATCTAGAGAAATTTAGTGTCTCCACAATTCGCAGGAATTTCACATAGTCCTGTCAGAACGAATTAGTCACCTTGCGTGGGTCAGTTTGGGGAAGGCAATGGTGAGGGTAAGTCTGTTATATTTGTAATGTATATCTAAACTAGCCGTTTGAAAGAAAATGCCTGCTTTTTATTTAAATAAAGGATAAAGGAAAATGTATAGCGCTGTTAAAATGTCAGCCTCGATGGCTTAACATAGGCTGTTATAGCAGCAAAGAATTCGGCAAAGTTCGTAATAAATGTTATTTATTTATAGCCTCAATGGATTCATTAAAATTCCACTAACTAAAAATTCGTGCAATGAGGTGACAATAAGCTCACTAGGTTCCTTCTAAGTGATTTGTTTTGACTTTGATGAGTGCGAGATTTCGGAGCTTAAATACCTATATGTAATGCTGGAATTCGAAGAGCAGCTAAAAGATATCCACTAACAGTTTTGCAATTCGGCTTTCCGACATTTACCTAAGCATCGCCAAGCTTCAACAAATAATTTGCCTACCCACCCTAACCTTTCCAGTGTTGTTCACTGCTCTTAGTCTGGCATTCCATACGGTTACGTGAGCCAGGGACATCAAGCAACCCGAGCGCACGAGCGTGCCGCTGTTCATTTCCTCCCTTCGGCGACGTGTTAATCGTATAACAGCTGACTGACACTGGCTATTGAATCTGCTTCACCCGACTATAAATGAACTTCAAACTTCACCAGTAGCGTGACTGAACAAAATCGCAACTGTGTTTATCACCGGCCGCTTTCAGCGGCAGGCGAATGAAACACTTTACCTTTACGGTAGGACAGTATTTCACAGTCATTTTGGACGTCAAGCAGAAACAATGGGACTTGGCGCATTCCAGGCGCGCTTGTAGTGGTAGTTGTTCGTGGCAAGGTGCATTTAAAATGGCTTACGCAATGAGCTGCACAATCTGACTGATAATACAGCTCTTTTTGAGAATTTACGGTCTAATTGTAGCATAGTCATGATGTCTATTATTGCCTTTTACGTCAAAACTTAGATCCTATTGGGCACGGTCATAAAGTTTAAATAAAGCATACGATAGCCAGGTGTGAAAATGACTCCTAGTCTTGGAGCGTCCATTACAGAGTATATGGTTCAATGGTCGCTTCCTCGCCTGCAATTTCAATAAGAGCCTTTGTTATCGACTTGAGATATTTTGGGACGATCGAGTATTCAATGCAAAGTTGCTGAATTAGATTCAGCAATCATCATGCATAAGCAATCAAATCCAAATTATTTTTCCCTTCCATTCATAAACACTTTAACAGCCATCGATCAGCTCTCAACTCCCCATTTTACCCCTGGATCCCCCTCCCGGTTGACCCACACATACTATCCAGCACGTGTATTTTCAAAGAGGATGACTGGCTCTTCACCCCCTCCCCGCCACCTACCATCGAGCACGTGCACGCGCAAAGAGGCGGACTGGCCCTTCACCCCCTCCCCGCCACCTACCATCGAGCACGTGCACACGCACGGTGGCGGACTGTCCCTCGCTGGGCTGGCAGGTGTAGGTTCCGGAGTCGCGCTGTCTGGCGCGCGCGATCACCAGGAAGCTGGTGGTGCCGTGCCCGCCGCGCTCCGTCTGAATGCTGAGGCCGGCGCGCGGTGAGCTCACGTCCACGGCGGCCGAGCCCTTGCTCCAGCCCAGGGTGACCGGTGGGTCAGCCAGCACGCGCAGCTCGCAGCGCAGCTGGATGTTACTGTTGAGCTGCACGTACCGGTCCGAGGCGCCGATGATCTTGGCGTGCGCCGCTGTCGGGCGGAGGAGAGATCAGGGGCGGTGTGATTCAAAAGGGCGTGATTTAGACTTTAGAGCTGTATTCGGGGCCGTTTGAAGATAAATTCGTAGATGAAACGGGAGCACTCTCCGTCAATGCTTAGTAACATTCTTTGATGTGCATGCACAGCTCTTGACCAAAATGTATTCGGTGGAGAAAAGCTATGCCTACACGCCAGATTAACAGAGCCAGTTCCCTAACTCTATCAATTGCCACCAACATCCAGAGGAGCCTTTTCTTCTTCGTTACTTTCAGATAGCAGTCGTTTGCCGAAATTGGGTCACCAACTGTCTGTGAGGTAGTGACAAAACTACGCCTTGTTTCGCGCTTTCTGGTCATTCCGCCAGGCCGGATCTCCTATCACATGAAGGTTTTACTCACCTCATGTCACCTCAAAGACGGGATATACGCTCCTGAGGGAAATACACGCGACATGTCTGGCACACTTTGTACCCCGTAAACCTGCACTCCTATAAACAAAGTTCGGTCGGCGCTATTCGGAAGCTCCCCGCGGGCTACAGAGAGATAGTGCAGCACCGAGGAAATGCGCCCTCGCGGAGATCTTGTGTCGAAATGAAAAGAATCATATCCTCTGGTGCGAGCTCGATGTTCGTTTAAGGAATGCTGCAAATGAAATGCATAAAACTTGGCCTAATCTTTAGCCAGCCAGCTGTAATATTTTTTGCATAAATAAAATATTTCAACAGAACGCATGTCAAATAAAAAAGAACTGTATATATAATCAACTATCAAGACAGATGCAAGCATTGGATAGGGTTCTACGGAAGGGAACTGATAACCGGATTCTAGAGCTGGTGGTCCTGTCCATAGCGACATACGATTTGTGACAGTGTTATTTGTTTGGTTGTATATAGTTCTACTACTGAGTCATGTGCCGCACTTATCGGCGCTTCTTTGCTCGAAATCTTGCAGAAATCGCTAGAACGAAGGCTACTTTCGAACTAATTCCAAGATTGCAGTGGACCATTAAAGAGCCATTCGGTATACCGAATTAATGGTTATCCCGTGACTGGTTTCGAACTGCAATCGAACTAAGTGTGGTCAGATGTTCGGACCGGGTCATGCTGGGCGCGGCCGCCGAAAACTTGGCCGCTGCCCCGTGTATCTGGCCGCTCTGTGACGGCGAGTAACTCGCAGACCGAGCCGGGACGCTGTGACCGCCACTCCGAGAGCGAGGGACGCGGCCCCGCTGACCACCGGCCGTTCCGCCCTGGCCGTGAGACTCCAGCAAATTCACAGCTAGTGAGCGAATTAGGTCTGACGGACCCTTGCACCCCCTGGAACCATTTCATAAAGCAGACAGGGCAGCGGCACAGGGAGTTGTCATTGCGACTGACAGGCAGCGTGGTTCTGTCGATCCAGTATTGTGATTGGTGCTGGCGTGGCCTCTGAGTGCTCCATTTTGTTCAGCGTCAGCTGGTGTTCTGTTGGTGATCAGCACCGAAATTGGAGACCTAATGGCGCTAATACCTGGGCAGAGCGTCTGGCCATGAGAGTCGCGAATAGCCGCTGACGCGGCGGAACACGGAAAAGACGGCCAGGGAAGGAGGAGGTCGCCATATTGGAGCGCTATGGGCATTGGGAAAGCGGCGAAAAGAACACTTCGACGGTTATCAGAATGTCTATCCAGTTCAATCGATACTATTACATATAGCTTGACCAAGTGCTTCTTTTAGCTCTATGCATTCAACAATCAATTCTCGAAAGATGTTTAGTGATGGGTGAATTCAAACGCCAACGCCGAACAGGAGCGACTCGCCTCGCGACTCTGAGCGCCGGAGGCTAAATGGCGCCACTCGGTCTGAGTCGGGGTTTACAAGAAAGCTCCTCCTTGGAAAGCCGCTCAGAGGCATCTGCTCGCGTCCAGAAATCCCCAGACGTGTCATTTCCGATCCTTGTGAAGCCACTGGCGCGACACTGGATTTATTCTTGGCGAAACGGCCGCTCGGCCGGCAAAACCAGACGTAACGAGTATGCAGATCGCGGGTGTTATCATGTGGAAGGGCCATTGCGGCGACACTGAGCGGTCAGCCGGCTGCGCCACAGCGGATTGTTTCCGCCTCTCCGGCTCGGACCGCGGTGGTCGGAGCTTCAGGGACACCTTGGTGCTCAGGCGCCGCAGAGATCCAGATTCGAGACCGACTCGCGTCGCGTCTAATTTGCGCATGAGTATTCTTACGCCACGCATGACTACCATTATTAGCATCGATGCTAACTGCTTCGACTAATTAACCAGAAACGTCTAACCTATGGTCTAACGCATGGACCGCTCTGATTCCGTATCAATGTCAATAGGACAAAGATTAGCATCGCACAGCACATAGGTAACTCGAATTAGGTAACTATGATCCCTCACCAGAGTGCGTCGCGCTCCGTTCCCTGTTGGCCACGGTGGTCGGTGGGCGACCCACCTTGTACGTGCAGTGTGACGGGCCAGAAGCGTTTGGGCTCGGTGTTGATCTGGCACTCATACACTCCGTCGTCGCTCGTCTGAACCCCGCTGATCTGGAGGTGGAAGTCGTGACCGCCGGGCTCGTGCAGCACCTGGAAAAGAGATAGTCCTTCAGAAACATACAGGAGGAGCGTCATGAAGAGTGAAGAGCCCTTCTTCATTTGTCTTGTGGGCTATGTATGCAATATGGAGTTCAGATTACTGAAATTGCACAAACAAGAGAGCGAATCAAACTCGGCGATTATGACTTTACGCGATAACAAACTGCTTGGATCCTTACCAAAGTCAAAATGTAAATGTTTATGGGGGTTGCTATATGCATCAATAAACATGTATCTAGATTTGTAGGCATTGGTTTTACGTTCAAATATGAGTTCATGACTGAAACAAAAACTTCATAATTACGTGCACACGCGCTGGTCATGCTAAGTGGTCTCGTTTTGTGATGCAATTCATTGCTGACGGTACCATTAGAGAAACCTCCATCCTCCATTGTGTATGCTGACAGCACACAATTGCCTTCACTGCAATTAACTTTATGGTCCATTCAAATCAAGGGGTACAAGCCAGACACGTCTTAGTTCTTCGCCATTAAAATCCCTTGAGCATGGGCGGCGCCACCGGGGGGGACGGGGGGGACAGGTCCCCCGCTATCGAAAGTTTGGGGGGTACAGTACCCCCCTATCGGCGAGGCCCGTTCAATAGTGGATGATAATGCATTGTAGAGTTATCCGTCGCATTTAATGCATCGTTGGTTAAGCAAGGCAGGTTCTGAATAAAGATTGCTGTTGGGATGTATCGCATGGGGTCCTGGCCATCTGCAAAAGGTGTGGAGCTGTGATGCCTGTAGTAATAAGGTGATCGGCAGGGCCTCGGGGATCGTGCCCCCCCCCCTTTTTGGGGCGCCAGGCAGGGTTATTACCTCCCCACCTCACTGCCAGACCCCATTGCCGACAAAACCAAGTTTACTGAAATTCCATAGATTTCCGTTACTATATGGATATTTTCCATTCCTAATAAGTCAAATTCAAGCATGGCAGTTCTACCACAGGAACCATTTGAAATCTATTGCCATTTAACCCCAGCACTTGTGGGGACGGGGAGAAGTGTTCGGATAGATCACAGGCAGGACCAAAAAAGCACGCAGTAGCCCAAGACCTTATAATTGGGTAGCATCGGCTCCCTCTCGTCAAGGGGCTCGATAGCACTCGTTTTTTTTTTCTTCTGCAAATTAAGTTCGGTCGGCGGCCGAACGGCTGGGCGTCTAATCGAGCCCCACCTCCCCTTCTTACGTCAGCGGCTGTGAAAATGCCATTACCAGCTGTTGAAACATGGCAGTTGCTTTTGCATGAGTGCACGAAGGGTTTTAGGTACGTGATACGTGAAAGGTTCTACATGAAAATTGAGATACACCAGCTTATTGTGTTCACTGTGGTGCGCTCGGCTTTTACCTTGACTAGTCTTTAAATTCTGGGGTGAAACAGACCAGTCAAGAAACCTGTTCCATAAGGAGAGCCACTAATGCTAAAGAGATGAGGGATGAGGTTTCCAGAGACCTTCATTACCTCCCAAAGGGGGTGCCCGCCATTTGCCAATCCCTGCTGTAGTTGTTACGATTGGAGGGAGGGTGAATATGAGAACGACTGCCGGTCGTGCCAGCTCGATCATGACGAACACAATGGTGCCGACATCACAGCTCTACTGCCATTTTTGACGAAGTTTATCAACAAGGACCGGAATCCTACCCTGGGGCATTTCACCTGCAGAGGTCGCCGGACCTGAGACCCTTTCACTCAATTTTTTTTTTTCAACGGTGCATGCGCTCGTTTTTCCCGCGAAGCTCTCGGTAAGTAACATCCATCAGAAAGTGTGATCAAATAACGGCTGGTGACCTTCCATGACCTAGCATGACCTTTTGAGTGACCACGCACCGATGACATGACCACTGACCGCTAGCCAGTAGCTGCACCCTGCCTGTTGCATATGGAACAGGTGGTGATGTCATGATTCTGAAATTATATTGCAGTTTTGGCGCACTTGTCAGAGCAGAAGACATTCCCACTTTTCCTCCATGACTATAGACGTATGATGGTGAAGCCATGAAGCTGACCAGACGTAAGATCGAAAATTTGAAAGTACGAAACGTAAGAATAGTTGGCACTGCTACTTATACCTAAGCAATTCGCAGAGCTTGTAGGAAACCAGCTTTGAGTTGGCAAGACTACAAATTTTGATTTAGAGGCAAGGATGCTTGAAAAGGTGATCGATCTTAGGTGTCCTAGGATAAGTTTGGAAACGGGATGCACCATTCGATGTGTTTTGGGCTTTGCGGGCTTTGCCAAGTTTCGCGGCGTTACGTGCCTCGTTTTTTTTGCATACACGATCAGTATCTACTTTTGGGATTTTCGGTCATGGCAAGCCCCCGTCCCCGTCCCCCCCTATCGAAAACCCGTGGCGCCGCCCCTGCCCTTGAGGCCTCATCTTCTTGGCAGGGATTTAGGATCAATCCTAGTTCTAGTGATTAGAAGCATATTATAACTTATCTTTGGGTATCTATAGGAATGCGTTGTATTTTGAATGTTTTACAATGAGATAAAACACAGAAGTTACTTGATATTAGATCAAAGTATGAAAAGAAAAACATTTATCGCGAAGACATATCTATTATAAATATGATTCCCAGATCTGATAATCTGCAGCTCCAAGCTCTTTGTACCGCATTTTGTCTGGCTTAGTCTTAACATGCTTTATCTTCGTTAAGATTATGTTTAACACACTCATATATCATGCATGACTGATCCATTTGCAGTAAACTGTGGTTGAACCCATCGACCGCGTGCATAAATCCTGCAGTAAGGGTATAACCGTAATGAGCACTGCAGCACCCGGCCGGCGTGTTTCTCCGCGGGCCATCTCTCCAGCTGAGCTCGATAGGAGTATGCTGGATGAGACTCGCCATGAATTTCTCGATAAGTCGTTCGCGCCGATCGGGGAGGCCGGTGGTCGCAGACGGCGCCGGAGGGACGTCCGGGTCAATCACTGGACCGACAGCCGGCGTCCGACCTCCGGCTCCTGCCATATGACACTGGATATACCTACGATTTAAACGGTATCAGCCGCGTGGCTCCGTTCAGAGGTAGTTTGTTACCGTGGTTCTGATTTATACCGCCGCCGCCATACGGCGATTCAGGCTTGGTTGTAATTTATGGTGCCATTCATGTCAGGCAAAGCAGTTCAAACACTCGCCTCGGTCATCCTCTTATCATTAGAGTAGTTCTCACACAATGTGAGCAATCAGCTGAGATATTAGCTTGTCAAGTGCAGCTTATGTAATGAAAAACGGAATATTTCTTAAATGAAGTGCGCTGATTAAAAGGAAAGCCTTTGCCAGGAGGATAAAAGGGCATCACGACTGTGAACAAAGGGTCGGTAATGTCTTGTCACTGCATATTCCACAACTACAATTACATTTTTATGCTTATTGTCTATACCTACTTATGTTGAAATGCCTACTTGGCTGGACAGCTAGCTGCTGAGGACTGACAGACCATTCTATAAAGCCAAACAGAGCTTTTTATTTCAGTGCTTGTGCTCGACACTACCATTACCACAGAAATTTCGTAATGCTGCAGGTGCCCGCTCTCTGACCGTTAGGTGGTCCCCATTAGGTGGTGACCACCAGAAACTGCAGTTTCATTCGGTCACATTAAATATCCAATCATGTGACTTATACATTGCCAAATGCAACTCATATCAGCTGCAGTTCGGTTTTCTTTCGACCACATCACATGTCCACTGTCCAGTCCTGTGTCCAAACCTAGCCGGACATACACAGTAAACGTGTCCAGTCTGTGTCCGATTCCCCACGGCTGCCGTAGAACGTGTCCCACACTGTGCGGCCAGTAGGGGCGTGGCGTGGTCTGGTTGCATCATTCGCCGCCCCGCTCACGTTCGACTGAACCGCAAGACCCGCCGAAATATATGACCCCCGGCGCCTCAGTGCTGGGATCCGCAGTCCCTCGGCTTTCCCAACTTGGCCCCCCACGGGCCAGACAGTATCAGACAATGTCGATATCGGACCGTGCTCGGCGTGACGATGAAGTATGATACCAACAACAATCAGTGTTGACGTCCAGAAACATGGAAACAATGTTATAAAAACAATGGAAAAGAACGTGTTATGGCGACATGCCGTGGCTTCGAAAACGTCCGATGACATCGTGTCCACTGTCCCAGCCATCATCTCCTCTTCCTTATGGCATACTTTCACTTATCTATTGGCATCTTTTATAATCATTTTGGTTTTATGGGCGCTGATCACCATTCGGCAGTCACGCCAGCGGCCAGATATGACCCAACTAACGGTCTGCTAACACGGCGTGCTCTGTCGTTCGCCGAACCCTGGCCCCGCGGGGACATCGGGGCCGTTCGGGGAAGCGCACTCAGCCGCGCTATTCGGGCTGGTTGTCCTCGTGGCTCTATGAATACCCAATCAGTGTCCCATCCAACTTCCCGCAGTAACGACTTGATGACGAGTTGCAGCCGGCAGTTCTCTCGCCACCCGACGCACAGTAGTCAGTAGTGGCGCCGCGCCGGGTGTCGTTCTCACCGCAATCGTCGCCGGGTTCCCACGTCTGTCGTCTCAGCGGTCGGCGCCCACCTCTGACGGGCTCCATAACCGGCTGTTTAGATACGACTGGCAGCAGACGGACGTCCCCGCCGACGGACGCCGGCGCCCCGAGATACGCCGCCGTCGGCCGGCCGGCGATCCATCCGGGGTCACTTGGAGACAGGCCCGGCCGGAGACCGGCAGATGGACCCGCCAGGGTCCCGCGGGCCTAACAGAGATTCACGGCCGGCCCGGACCACGGTGGCCCGGTCGCTAAGCGCCCCGGGTCGAACTCCTCCGTGCACCGGGCTGATGATTAATGAAGCCGTTCGGCGGCTCTGGCCCTCCCCATAGCTAAACGGCAGCCTCGTCATACTCCGACAACGACCGAGAGAGATTGAGACTGTGACTGACTGAATCAGAGAATCGGTGTGACATTTGCAAATGTCGAATGCTTTTAGCAGATCACAGCTCACCACCAGCCATGGTCCGCAGTGAAACTGGAACTCCGTGCCAAACGTGGCTACTTTCAGCGAATCTAACATTCAAAACGGGTGAAGTACCGGCATATCTGTGGCCTCGCATCCCAGTCCCTGGTTTAGTTTATTTATTTTACTTGGACGCCCACTTGTATGCAGTGATATATACGGTACGTCTCGTCCTCTCGATCTCGTAGCAACGAGCACGTCCTCTTCATATGATCAGAATACTGCTGATGGCGCCAGTCCCACTTCTCAGGATAATGTTACAAAATGACACCAGTCGGCGCCGTCGGATTCCTGACAAATGCGGCGACAGCCACACAAAGCCATGGCGGCACACCCTCCAGCGGCGACATTTCGCTGTCATCTCCCTATGCTTTATTTCTCTGCAAATGCTCGCTGTCGTCGAAATTCAGGCCATGCTGTGCACTCAACTTGTCTGCCACTGCTGTAAGATTCGATTCATTGCCTTCTAATTTTGGCATAACACACAGGGTGAATAGCATTATTGAAGTGACAGCAGCCTCAAAAATTCACTTTTGCATTACTCTGCCCTACTACGAGTATTTAGGCATCTATTCTACATCTCAGTCTGCTGTATCGATTGATATAATGCATGCAGAAGCGAAGACCGGAGGACGGCAGCAACGGACCACCGGCAGAGTCGCTGAGCGCGATCTATGCTCCATTTCAGGAGTTTAATCCTGTTCAGCTGGCGTGGCTCGGCTCGCAGAGTAGCCGATGTCGTGCTGAAAGCAGTCTCCGACACGCCTCCGCACAGAACAGAGCCAAGATGAGCATCCCTCACGCAGCGGCCTTTCTCGGCACCCGGCCACTCTCCCTTCACTCGTCGCTCCGTCATCATTCCGCGCTCTCCCCTTTCTCCCCCGCCGCACTATCCGTCTTCCCAGCTCACACCATCGTGTCCGTCCCGCCGCCCGGCTCTCTCCGTCTATCTCAATCTATCCCGGCCACCCTTCACATCCGCTATACACCGGCCACCGGTGTACTGCGACGTTCCAGCCCTCCTCAAGGCTTCCAATTCCACCGCAAGGCTTCTAATAATGGTGAGCAAACTTTCAACCGCCATGCATAGCATCAGTCACAGCTAACAAAGTTACTGGACCACTACGTAACACCACAAGCCGTCACGGCGAACTCCGCCGAGACGTTGGCCGGAGGTGTTTAACCTTTCCGCCGGAGGAGCTCTCCTCTCCTCTCCACTGTCCAAGCAGAGGCTGATGTGTGTCACCACGGCCGGGGAGTGGCGGTCCCACCTCCCATCGACCCGCCGCGGGTGGCGGCTGACGGGTACACAGTCGCGGCCGGCGTTACCACCCAGGCACGGAGGTGTACAGACAAGGTCACGTGAAGACGGCGTGGTTGTAATGTTGAGGAGCGCGTGACGAATGAGTTAGCTCTTACTTAGTAGGCAGCAGCATACAGGCCTCGGTATTTACGTTAGCCGCAGTTTCCAATGACAGTGCCATTTGAAATGAACGAGAGGGAAATATCAATCATCAGAAATGCCCCTTTTACAATTGACAATGATGCAAAGTGTTAGTGTTTGTGATGAGATTTATGTTTGGGCAAAAAGACATACATACAGGTTTGAAGACATACATACATGTATTTCAGGTTTGTATTGTCGTTTTCGTCTGGTCTCATTCAACATTAGGACAGCAATAGCCATTACTTATTGTATTCGCAGGCATATTGTGTGGCTATGTGGCATGGAAATGAGTTGCATAATATGTATTTTTCTTTGTGTCCCTGCTATGCATGTGTTATTTAACGCCCCCAAATGAATTATTTCTCATCAATAATAACAGATGTTCACAATTCCTACACTCATTGCATGATCCATTCGATGGTTTTGGCATCGATTGAGATTGGCGCTCGATAGAAGGATGTGCAATAGTTCATCCTGTTTAGTTCAAGCGGAGTTGCTATTTTGGTACATAGCCGGTAAGGCCAGATGACTAACAGATAAGTTATTCTAAAAGATAAATGAATGTTGTCTGATGCAGTATGGTATGTTATAGAGGTGCTGAGACCCTCGTCGTTCCAGATTTAACGTCTCTTATGCTGACGTAACGTGTCCCGACACTCCAAACGCGCCTGGCCAACGGAAACTGACAAGGACTAACTAACCGTTCACCTCAGATTTCGGCTATAGTTGAACTCCGAGCGTCGAACGAAGTGGTAAGGGCTGTTGGGATTGAAAAAGCCCTCTGAAAACTGAGGCCAATAGATTGGTGTATCAGTCATGCTCTATGTGTTGACGTGGCTCGGCGAAATTCCCGCTGACCCGACAGGAGGCGAGCGACTCCCTATGTTGGGTCCGTGTCAGGCACGGCGTGCCGCCGACGGCTGAGCAATGTCGCCACTCAGTCACTCCGACCTTGCCGACACACTGACTCGGAAACTCGCAAATCAATGCCCAACAGCAGCGCGGCTTATTCGGGTTAATGCGTGCCCCGTCGTTAACACCGTTTCTCGTCAACAATTGCCCGGCACCAGCACCCCATTCGCTCGGTGTCACCTTGACTGTAGCAGCGCCAATGCAATGGTGACAAACCTAATCAATTCGTCGGATGTCGATTGGCTAATATCCAATGTCGGCCTAATCCATAGCAATGTTCGGAGAATCAGCGCCTGTAGTGAGGGCGGGCCCAGGCAGCGTCGTCTCCGTGATTCGTTGGAACGCGGAACTATTTATCATTGTGGCGCTTCCGATCAAACGTTATTTAAAAATGTATGGAAAACAGGCATTGGCAGGTGAGGCTGCCGCGTAGGTGATCAGGCCCGGCCGGAGAACGCAATGCCGTCATCGTCACCTTCGGCCGACTGATGAATGGCTTCTATCTGTAATATTTCACCCGACTTGCAGCTGTAGTGGCCACAAATGCGATGGCCTAAATGTAGCCGTCAATTCACTTGATGTAGATGGCTGACAAATATATAACGTATGGCATGAAATGAAATAGCTAATGTAAATATCCAGGCAGTGGATCTAAATTAAAAGCCATTTAAAGTGAATGGACGCGAGCTGGGTCCATAAAAGGTGAACTATAATCTGAGTGCATAGCCTCTGTTCTGAGGGGAAGAGATTCCAACAGAACATCGATAGCTGCCTCACGTTTACATCGTTGCATTTTGTGAAAGCTGGTGCCACAATCGCCCTCCCTTGCTCATGGCAAGGAAACAACATAAAACTCAAAAAGCACAGTCACGGCTGGACGATATCCATATCATATACTTCCCGAGTTTCATCCGCACAACGTAGTCGGTAGTAATGTCAGCCGTTCGGAGCTGCCCTGCCCTTCAGAGCACCGCTCCCACCCTATCCTGTGTGATCGGCCCTCGGCTGCCGGGCACGCCACTCCGAGCGTCGGCCGCATCGTGCTGTAGGACCTCCATGACCGCCGCCAAGTGGGCTATGCCGCCGAGGTAAATTGAATCAGTCGCCGCCGATACTGGCCCGGACCGGCAGGACGTGGCCGGCAAAGCGACGGACGCCGCACGTGGACGAGTGCGGCCCGTGTCGGAATGGTGCAGCCGCGCGCCGACGGAGGCCGGCCGGCCGCCGCCAGCCGGGAAATGAAGGGCCCACCGAGCCACAACAAATGGCCGCCGCCAGAAACAAGACGGCCAATGGCAGACCATTCAGGTGACAAATCTCACCGTCAAATAGCACGGATTTCAACCAGAGCCGCGTCTGCAAATGCTGACGGCACCCAAACGGTCGCCGGCATCAAGAATATCACATGAAAGCTAAAGCAGTTTGACATAATAATATTCATGTAAGGGCATCTGCATAATGGTTGAAACGGAGATACTGACAACTAAAGAGAAGCATGTGGTTGAGAATATACGATTTTCATTACTAGCCAGGTGGAAATGACTGCTGGAAGCCTATGAACAATCGTTGTTTGCATATTTGCCACCTCTTATGTATTTATTTGGAGGTTCATGTATGCATAGAAACTCAACGCAAAGCTCGGTGAGCATGACGGACAACAATGCATGCCAGGATTTCTTGACGCTACGTCATTATTCGTATAGGCAAAGTCCCTCTCATGGCTGACCTGCTCTTCTTTACGTCCTATGCTTTGTTGACCAGGCAGCGATATCAGGCAGCCCTCTTGTTTAGTTTTGCGTTCCGATGGAATTAGGTAAAGAATACTTTTTACTAATGTTTATCGAACAACAATGCAGCTGATCACGATCGCGATGCGAGGACAACCCGGCTCTTGTGATCTGTGCTGAATAAGCAGCAAGACAACACGCTGTCCTTTTTTATCGTCCTCTCGCGCCCAAGAACCACTGTCTCTCCGTTTTGGCCCCATCTCTGTAGTACACGCGACTGTCTGGCGGGCGTCTCTGCCGAGCTCTGGCAGCGGTCCAGCCGGCTCTACTGGAGGACCCGGCTCTCGGCGATCGCCGCGCGGGCCGTCCGGACCGCTATCCTCCGTGACGGGACGCACCAGGCCGGAAGGAGGCACTCGGTCACCCGGTGAGGGGCCGGCGCAGGGGCGCGCGCCGGCCCGGTGACCCGGCCACTCCGGAAGGTCACAGTCTGTCACCGTGTGAGGCCCAGTGTCCCCCGATGACCCTGCCGGCTCGGTCGGCCGCGCGGCTACTGCTGTGAGAAGCGGTCGTGTCTGGGACGAGTCTAGCGATAGCGGTGTCTACTGTCTGGATCACAGCCAGACGTTTCCAGGCTGGAGGCGCGGGCATGACAGTTGACTGACAACGGCCAGAGAGTCACTAGGAAATTCGTAAAATCAGTTCGTGATAGCTGCAGTTGATTCTTCTGCCTGCCATTGAGTCATTCCAAGATTTTTTGGCTTTATGAAGCTCCGTAAAGTCACACGCCGAGTCAAACCAAAAAGGCACGATTTTTAAGTGCACAGGATAAAACAAGAGAAATCCCCGTAGGATGTAAATAGCTGTCCCGTTTTCTTGTCACTGCCTGTCACACTGAACGTGTTCCGTACTCCTGGTGGTCTGAGCTGCCTTGCTCGGCCAGGCCATAGCTCAGTCCGTCAGATTTACTGGGAGGTTGACGTCTAATAATTAACGGCTCATTTCAGCCGTGAAATACGACAATTGCTCTGAGCGAGCGTGACGTTTTCATTTAGCCGTGACTGACAGATTGCAGCTGTTCTTACACTTCTCAATGTGGACAGATAGCCGCATCAATTGATTTCCTGCAGACCATAGACAGGCGCTCAAAATAGCATGTACGCTGCTTCATTATCCATTATAACAACGGGCGGCGCTTTCGCCTTCTCCGAACTCGCTGACACCGACAAAATCGGGACGCCTGACGCGGAGAGAAATACTTCGTTAATCTGTCTGTGTCCGAGAGACACTATTTAGATACCGGGCAGGGCCAGCGGCGCAGAACGAGCCTCTCTTTGGACGATAAATACCGGAAGGTGGGCGGCTGTCAAAAATAGCGCACGAGCGGATGAGCCGAAACAGCAGACTCGTAGGTCTTCTGCCGACAGAGCTAACACGGAACACGCCAGGATATCATTTAGTTCAGTGATAGGGTAAGGGCGGGTAAGAGTACGCGGGCGATAAGAGTACGCATCAGCTGTTTCGGTTGCTTAGCAACGCGGGTTTGTCGAGTTCATGAAGTGACATGAAGCCGCCAGTGCGTGCTTGTCACCAACGGAATGTGGGCGTTGAGCGGCGACGCTGTTGAGTTTAAGGCGATGAATATTATTTTCGGGCGTTATGATATTATTATGGTATGGTACAATAATTTTGATACTTGGCAGTTGAGATAAGGTACATTTCCGTGATTGTTGTGGAAAACTTCTGAGGTTATCTGTTTGCGAAGTTTTG